ACTCTTAATGCATTGAAGATCTTTCTTAAGGAGGTAGAAAATTCTCAAGATTTTTGCGTCAAGGAGATTGTCTCTGATAATGGTGGCGAGTTCACTAGTTGTCTTTTCAAGGATTTCACTGAAAGTCAAGGCATCAAGCACACTTTCTTACCGCCTCCTGAACAAAATGGATACGCAGAGCACGCAAATTTTACTATTCTTGACAAGGCCCACACCTACCATGGTGCTGACCAGCAATCTGCCAAAAACGTACTGGGCAGAAGCTGTGAATACCTTGACGTTTGTCTCAACTCTGCTATCTACTCCCTCTTGCTCCAATTTCTCTCCATACAAACTCTGGACTAAAACCTGTCCACCTGTTCATTGAATCAGAACTTTTGGTTGCAAAGCCTTCATATGTGTTCCAAAATCTCATCACACGTGGAAACTAGGCAATAAAGCCAAAGTAGGTGTTCTTGTTGGATTTGCGAATGAAGCTACTGTTTTCAGGATCCTTTGAAGAAACAGATTAGAAATCAACATGCTCTCTTCAACGAGTCCTCTTTTCCTAAGTTCTCAGATGAATTCATACCATCTGAAGGCAAAAATTCAGACTTCTTCATGGATTCTGTTGATGGAGACATCTCCCCCACGCCAGTTCCTGCTACTGCCAATGACACTCCCACATCTGCTAGTGTTGCTCCTGCTGATATCTCAGCTGAGGCTGGATCAGGAGCTGAATTGACAAACTCAAGTTCTAAGCTGATTGTTGGGGACATGTTGTCTTCAGATATAATCTCAACCAAATGTGTCAGGAAGGCTAGGGCGTTTCATACTACAGGTGCAACTAATTGTGCCAAGGCAAAGTCCTGGGAGGTTGCCATTAAAGAGGAGCTTGGAGCTATCACTATGGCCTCCTTGAATGTGTGGTCTGTGGTTTCTCTAACATCTGATATGAAAATGGTGGGGACGAATTGGGTTTTCAAAGAGAAAAGGGGTGAAGGGGACATTGTGTTTGAAGCCAGGTTAGGTTATGTGCTCAAGGGTTCTCTCAAACTCATGGAATTAATTTCTCCAAGGCTTTTGCGCCCACCGGTTCTTCTTAAATGCTGACCTACATGAAGATATTTATTTCTTTGTTCCTCAGGGTGTGTCCCTTGACAAGAAAAAAGTCTGTCTCACATTAAATAAGGCAATCTATGGCCTAAAGCAGGCACTATTAGCCTGGTACAACCGTCTCTCATCCTGGTTGCTCACAGTTGGTTTTTCTATCTCTGTTGCTGATCCGTTGTGGAACTTCTGAACAACCAGAACAGAGCTTAGAGGGGAAATAGAAAACTACACTACTAGTAATGTAAGTTAAGCTATGAGTGCTGATGAGGCTGCCCTCTGAGACTAATGCTGAGGAGAGAGGGTTTCACTAAGAATAAGAAAGAGGTGTGGCTAATTTCTAACTGATTCTTAGACTGCTATAACTAATGAGGTTGTTCCTTATCAATCCTACAGGGGAAGAAGTGAGACTATGAGGGATGTAAATAAAGCAGAGCTCTGAGGACACTGTGTGTAAAGGTATTTCTGGGGCAAGCACCTCAACAGGGCAAGGTCACTAAGGTGAGTTCTGAAAGTAAAATAGATTTTATCTGAGGGGCACAATAATATCTGTAGGGGAGAAAAATGCATAAGGGGTGTACAAAATGATAAGAAGACTGTATATATACTTCAAGGTACAAATGAGCACAGGTGTCAGTCAGTCTGGCTATGGGAGCACAATGTACACATGTAGCACAAGAGATGTGAAAAAGTAAATAATTAAAAGGGAGGATGAGTAAAGAAAAACAATCCCAAAAAATAAGGAGTGTGAAAGAGTGTACTACTGTTATCCTGAAGGCATATGAGAAAGCATAGTTGTAAGGAGTGTGTCTTGAGAAAATATATGTAGTAATGTAATGTGAAAAGAAGTACTTGTAAAGGAGTGTGGCTGATGTAATGAGAAGAGATATATGTAAGGAGATAGTACTTGCAAAAATCATGATGTATGTAGTAAACTGTAAATATGTGCTGTATGTAGTTAATGTGTAAAGTAGGGGGTATCAAATATAACCAAATCCACCATTATTTAATTCACTGGTTTGAAAAAATCCACCCTTTTTTAAACATGTTGGTTATTCATTTAACCCCTTTTGGGGCCCATTGATGCAAAAAAAAGTTTTTGGAAAAGTGACTGGTTTCTAATGGTGGATTTCCTATATTTGATACCCCCTAGTAAATGTAAAGAATAATATCTGTAAAACTAGAACTGCAAATAACTAATGAACCAGTAAGAAATGAGATATGACTTGAGTGAGTGACTATAGGTAAAAAAGGGTGTAGAATCTGAATAAGCAGTAATATTATAATAATTCCCAGTGAATGTACAGTAAAATAATAGATGATATGGAGAGGTATGGGTTATCACATCCTCCCCCAACTTATTGTCTGTCCCCAGACAATGCAGCCAGTATGAAGATAGAAGACTAAAAGAATATAGAGAAAAAGGTAAAGAAAAAAAGTAACTAGTAAGAGTGGCAAGGGAATCCAGAAAGGGGTCCATCCAACAGGAGTCAATTCCAGAGTTCAAGATTGATCCATTTCCAAGAGGAGTATCTGTTCCATCCAAGAAAGCCAAGTCCTGTATCCAAAAAAAAAATAAGACCAAGGAGGAAATCTGTTTATAAAAAAAAGGGGCCAAATCCAAGGTACTGTAGTTGATCCAATCCAAGAGGCCAAAATGTAATCCAGACATTGAACCACTCCAAGAAGGCCAAGTCCATAGTATCCAAAAGTGAACCACCCTAAGGAAGGAGTATCTGTTCCAATCCAAAGAGGCCAAATCCAAATAAAACAAAGTTGAACCACTTCCAAGAGGCCAAGTCCAGATTCCAGGGTTGAACCAATCCAAGAAAGCCAATGTCCAGGTATCTAAAGAAAATTCTTAAAAATGGGCCACCCAATGGAGGAATTCTGTTATCCTTTCAATGATGCCAAGTCCAAGAGTCCTGAGGTTGAAGTTCCATCCAAGAAAGCCAAAACCAGGTGACCAAAGAAAATTCCAGGGGAAAGACTGAGTCCAATAGTCCAAAATAGTCCTAAGGCCAGTAAAAGAAAAAAGACCAATCTTAATTGAACCACTTCCAGGGGGAGTATCTGATCCATCCAAGAAGGCCAATATCAAGAGTAAGACCTAAGTTGATCATCCTCAAGCTGGAGTATCTGGTTCCAACAAGAAGGCCAAAGTAGGTAAAAGACTTCTGAAGTTGATCCAATTCCAGGAGGAGTATCTGTTCCATCCAAGAAGACCAATCCAAGAGTAAGACCTGAGTTGAAAGGCAGGTAAGGTTGATAAAAGAAAAAGTCTGAATTCCAAAGTCCATAAGAGTCTGAGTCTAATGTTCAAGGAGGAAAAGTCTGAGATGCCAAAGTGGGAAGAATCCAAAATCCAAGGTCCAGCAGGAGTCCAGGGAAGTAAGAAGGTTTATAATAAAATGTAAAAGTAATATATCCAATAAAATAAACTATGTAAAATATCTTATATTCAATCTGTCTGAAAATTTGAGTAAAGCTGGGGTTCAAACTAATTATTTTTTAAATGCTGGGATGCACTAATATATATACCAAAATCTGAAGAAGTTTTGAGGAAAATAACACACAGGAGTAAGAATAAGGAGGGTTTTTCTGAAAGAACTACTTCTAAAATAATGGTTATATATATATAGGGAGTGTAACCAACAAAAGATGGCTATTATAACTGAAATTCATAAGTGTAATCAGTTGTCATGATGGTGGATGAATAAAGTATTTACATAGTTGAAGGAGTAATTTTCTTTCCATGGTGGCAGGAACCAAAAAATCCAGATGAGGGGTGAAGGTCAGGTGATTGGTGAATGGTGGGGTGCAGGGGTGATGGTGCTACAATTTCTGGGGTTTCATGGGTCCCTGGGTCCCCTTTCATTTCTCCAAAATGTTGAGAGATTAAATAGATTCTTGAAAAAAAAAATTGATTTCATTACTGGCCAAATTGAGGAAAGCAGGTCCAGGAATTCCAGAAAAGGAAAAGCCTAAAAGAGGAGGTGTCCGGTGAAAAACAGTCCCCAAGAGGGCCAGACTTAAGGAGAAAAGCACAGAAAACAGTGCACAACCCTCGGCGAAGACGAAAGACCGATGTTGAAGATGCGGTGATGTCATAGAATGAAAAGAGTAAGATTCGGAACTGGGTCGAACACCAGAGTCAATATTAAAAAGAAAAAAATTTATGAAACATAGCCCGGATCAAGCACCGGCATCGAAAAAGAAGAAATGAAAACATCCGCGCCTCTGAATCGTCCGATTCTTGGCGCTTAACGGATGAGGTGAGGCAAGAACCATCTAAAAACAAGGATTTGATCGAAGCCGATTTGCACACCGGCATCGCGGAGGAATTAGATGGGGGGGTGTAGATGAAAGGGACCCGGGTCCAACCACAATGACGAAATGATAATATAAAACAACAACAACAAAAAGAAATGAAGCTCAGACTGGATCGTAAACCAGCACCGCATTGTGTAATATTGGGTAGAGCACCAGTATCCAGAAAGGTTAGCTGAAGAGAGAAATTAACAACACAGCCGGATCGCGCACCGGCAGCGGATGAGATTAAGGATTGTGCGTAAGCCGGCATCAAACAGCATAGCTTGAAGAAAAAATCCTTGGTCGAATCAGCCATGCCACCAGCGAGTAGAGTGCTGCCGTTAAAACCTAGGTCGGGGGTTTTGGTTAATTATAAAAAAAAAGAGTAAGATGAAAGAAAATCCTCGGCGGAATCGCAGAAACGGAATTTAGCCATTGACTTGGGTCGCATGAGTGTAGCTCTACTAGTGACCCTTCCAGTGACTGGGTCTTCAGACATAAAAGCCGGCTGTGTTGTCCAACAAAAAGCCCATCGCCCCTAGTCCTTCCTCCAGACCGTCTAGTCCCTCCGCTCTCTATTGCAGCCTTTGAGCCACCCCATGTCCTTCTCACGACCGCTTTCCATCACATCGTTGGATGCTACTATTACCGGCACCTGCTCTGAGTCTGATTCCATCGACGAGCGTTCGCCAATTGTTTTCGATTCCGTCGACATTTGCTTGCCAGTTGACTACAATTCCGTCGACAAGCGCTCTTCGGCTCAACCAGGAGACTATTCAAACTTCAGTCCGGCGTTCACCCGAGACACTTTTTTGCTTGAAGAGCTACACGACTTTAGAATCCTAATTACCGACGAACTCATTCGCTTCGCCAGAAGCGCCAGCGCTGCCAACAAAGCGGATCGAAATCAACGACTGAGATTGTACAGCCGCGTTGAAGACCTGTTTTCGACCGTGAGTTGAGCGCTTTTTTTCCACAAGGTCCATCGAGGCCATTACTGATTTTGCTTCAAAATTTCCAACTTCTAGCTCCATATGCATCAACTGGGCCCGCCTATGGAACTTCGAAGGGCTCTCATCCAGGCTAAAGGAAAGGAAGAAAAGATAAAAGATAAAGAAGAGATGGTTGTCTTCCACAAGAAAGTTGGTAAGTCTAATTTTCACTAGAAATTAAACTTCAATTGAGCTGTTTTGAGAGCCTATTACTAATTTTTTTTTTTTTTTTGTTATGTAAGAGGCACAATCAGGGGAAGTGACTGAAGAGCATGTGTCAGAAATTAAGGCCCTTGTAGAAAACCAAGGTATGTAAGATTTTTTTTTTCTTTCTTTTTTTTTTGTATTATTTTATGTATTCTTTTATACTAATTTTTTTTTTTTTTTTTTTTTGGGGATTAATAAACGTACCCCCCTTTTCTGCTAACCACACCCAGTTTTTCACACCTGGTTTTCTGCTTCTACACCCGGTTTTTCCCAGCCTTTGTAATTCATTTTTTGGAAATTCTGATTATTCTAAAAATCTTCTAAAATTGATCATTCTTTTTGGGTATATAAAAAATCCTCAAAAGAGAACTTCAATTTTTTTATTTTTCTCACCCATTTTTTCCCAATTTTTTTTGACCCTATGAACTCTTGAAAACTTGAATTAAAGCCAAAAATTATTATTAATTTTCAAGTTTTTAATCTTTCTTCTCCATACAGATGGTCCCATTCAAGATATTCCTTATTTTGTCCATTTGGTTATAGCTCAAAACCAACAACATTGGGGTCTCCAAAATGAAATCAAATTTGGTCCTTTATAGATTTCCCAAATATTGGGCAATATCAATGATAAATTTAAGTGTACTTTGAATTCTCAAAAACTCATAGGCAGAAAAAAAAACTTGATGAATCAGATAAATTAAAATTTCTCTTTTGAGGATTTTTTATATACCCAAAAAGAATGATCAATTTTAGAAGATTTTTAGCATATTCAGAATTGCCAAAAAATGAATTAAAAAGGCTGGGGAAAACCGGGTGTAGAAGCAGAAAACCAGGTGTGAAAAACCGGGTGTGGTTAGCAGAAAAGGGGGGTACGTTTATTAATCCCCTTTTTTTTTATATTTTATATTTTTATATTTTTTTTTATTTACTGATTCTTTCTGTTTGTTTTATTTTCTTGTGTAATATTTTTTTACATGGCTTGCAGCATACCTTCTGGCCAATTCAGAGCCATCCAGTTCCTCCAGAGTATAGGATCCACCTCGGTTTTGAGATTTCACCTTGTAAGGGCCATTCCACTTGTTTTCAAACAATTTGCCCCACTGGGAGTCCAAGGATTTGTTGTAGACTAATACCAAATCACCTTCTTTCAATGGTTTTCTTGTCTTCTTCTTGTTGTTCCAGTAGTCCACAGATGTACCTCTAGTCTCCAATAGCTTTTGATGTGCCTTTTGCAATACAGAGTCCCTGTTCTCCAGTTGAGCTACCCTGGCCAAGAGAAGGTCCTGAGTTGTTGCCACTTGATCCCATTCCACTCCAAAGAAGGTTTCCAATTCAAGGTCAATTGGCAAGATAGGAGGCTGGCCAAAAACTAGTTCATAAGGTGAGTATCCAGTTGATCTTTTGGTTGAAATCCTGTCAGCAAATAAGACTAATGGTAAATAATTTCTCCATTTCTTGCCTTCCTGTCCACAGAGCTTGACCAGGGTGTCTTTGATTGCTTGATGTCCTCTCTCAACCATTCCATTGGCCTCTGGGTAGTATGGTGTGGTGACTCTCACCTTTATTCCAGATTCTTGAAGGGATTTTTGAAATTGCTTGCTGAATTCAGAGCCTCCATCCACTGCTACAACCAAGGGAGCTCCATATCTGTGAATCCAATGTTCCAGGAACCATTCTGATATTTTCTTTGCAAAGTTTTTCTAGTCCAATGGCTTCAACCCATCCTGAGAGGTCATCTCTGGCCAGAACTAGGTATTTCTATCTTCCTGCTTTGATGTGAACTGAATCCAGGCTGACTCTTCCAAAGATTGTTGATTTTCCTGTAGGTTTCCTTGGCTCCATAGGCAAGACTGAACTCCTTTTTTGGCAAGCTTCACAGGACTGGACCCATCTGGTGACTGATTTCTTGAGACCTGGCCACCAAAATCTGAGCTTGGTTCTGGTATAGGTTTCTGTGATTCCCCTGTGGCCTAAGGATTCATGAAGGGAGTGAAGGATAGAATTTTGAGCTGTGGGGGAAGTGACCACAATCTGGGAGAAAGGTTTGTTGATTCTGTGTAGGACACCATTGGAAAGGAAAAAAGAGGCTGGTTTGTGCAAAATTTGCTTGAATTCCAGGTTACTGCATCCAGGAGGTCTGTTCATTGTTGCAAGGTATTCTTCCAAAAGTTTCCAAATTCCTTGTTGCAGAGAAGTTACCCCCTCCCCCAACTGAGCTGATGTCCCCAGCAGCATTCCAGAAAAAGCTTGTTTGACTCCAAATCCAGGGTGTGGCTTGATCCATTGTTCATCTTCATCAAAACTAGGACAATCTTCTTCATCTGGATCTGGGGGCCTCCTGGAAAGTCCATCTGGCATAGTGAAAGTTTTACCTGGAGTATGTACCAAATCAAAAGAAAAAAGCTGAATAAAGGCTATCCATCTGTTCATAGGGGCATTGGGAAGTGAGGGGTTGTTGATCATTCCAATAAGACACTTGGCATCCACTCTGAGCTGAAAATGTTGGCCCCAAAGTTTGGTTTGCAGTTTCTTGAGGATTTTGGTGACTCCACAGAGCTCAAGTTTGGATTGTGAGTATTCAGATTCTCTTTTTGAAAAGACTACTGACTCATAAATAACAGGTCTGTCCAGTCCAGCTGAATCTTCCTGAGTAAGAACTGCTCCAGCAGCAATGTGACTGGAATCCACAGAAAGCTTGATGAGGCCAGCTCCAGGTCCATAGTCCATCTTCTTGAGGGTGATGTCAGTCCCAATGATTTTCTTCAGTTCTTCAAAGGCATCCTGGCATTCATCAGTCCAATCCCAGGTGGAGTCCTTCCTAGTGAGTTTTCTGAGAGGTGCAGTGATGGTGGAATAGTCTTTGATGAACATTCTGACATAAACACAAATTCCAAGGAATCCCCTGACAGCTGTTGGAGTGGTGGGAATTGGCCAGGATTCAATTTTGTCGAGCTTCTTGACTGAGATTCTTCTTCCTTCCTTACAGACAACATGGCCAACAAGATCCAGGGCAGGGACACAACAAGCAAATTTCTTGCCAGAAATGGTGAGTCCAGCTTCTTCAATTCTGAACAGTATCCTCTCCAAAGTGATGGCATATTCATAAATAAATCTTATGATTTTTGGGTTGGCCTCCAGGGTTTCTCCATTGTAGTCTGAATTAAGTTGGTCCTTTGATTCCTCCATCATCAATGAAAATTCCCATGTTTTCTGGTAATTCATCTTGAAGAATCCAAGTCATCTGGGCCTGGTAGACTGCAACTGAGTTGGTGGCACCTTGAGGAAGTCTGGTGAGTTGGAACCTGCCAAGTGGAGTTTCAAAAGTTGTTAATGGTCTGGATTCTGGTGATAATTCCCTTTCATCATAGCCTCCCATAATGTCCCCAAGTCCATAGCAAGCACATCCAGTAAATGACTCCACTAATTCCTCTGGTGATGGTGGAAGACCTGCATCCTTAATGGTGACTTTGTTGAGTTGTTGAAGGTCATGAACTATTCTTAATTTACCATCTTGCTTTTTTACACAAAAGACAGGGCTGGAGTAACTGGAAAAGGATTGTTCATAAAGGCCAGTCTTGAGTCTTTCCCTTACCAGTTCAATGAATTGAGGCCTGATTGGAGCTGGAATATTAATTGGTTTTTGTTGCCAGGGCTCATGAGGAATGACAGGAATGATGTAAGGTTGTCCATAGGTGTGTTTGAGTAGCCCTCTTTCTTGTTCCACAAAGGCCAAGGCTCCCTGCCTGAGGGTGATGACCCAGACTAATAAATTGTATTCTTCCTTTGACAGCCATCCAGGGGGGCCAAAATTGATAACATCCAGTCTTTCTTGTGTAACTTTGGAGGTGGGTTGAAAGGAAGGTGGGACGGGAGTTAAAGGGGCTGCATAGGGGTCTCTAGAGAGTGGTGGTCTTGAAAGAGGAGGGTTGAGGGAAAGGGGCATAGGTTGATTTACAGGTTTGATTTTTTTTAGAGTTGATTTGTATTTTGTGGCATAGGTGACTAATTCTGGTTGATTGGGTGGTTGCGACAGGTCCAGATATTCTATTTGGTAGATCTGAAATCCTGCCTCTGGTCCAAAAAATCCCTGGTGACCAAGAAAGAAGGAAGGGAGGTTTCCCATTTGTGGTGGTTGGGCCAGCAAATTGGAATTAAGTAGGCATTTCCCTTGTTGTCCAAGACTGAAAGAGATTCCCCTTTGGGTCCATTGTATTTGATTTGAGCAGATACGTCCATTAAGAAGGGTTTCCCCAAGATGAATTGCACACTTCCTCCTTTGGCAACCCAGAAGTGAACTGCCCTGGTGACTTTTCCAATTTGGACTTCAACTCCTTCAGCAATCCCCAGGATGGTAGTGTGGTGGCCTCCAATTCCTCTGAGCTTCATTTCTCTTTCTGTGATGACTAGTCCAAGTTGTTGAGCTATTTCTTCAGGAATAAGGTTGACCATGGAGCCAGTGTCCAAAAGAGCCTGGTGAGTTGTACCATTTATTCCAAGTCTGATGTAGCCAAGGGGGCAAGAGTAATGGGTGGTTGAATCCCTGTCTTCTTCTTCATCAGTATCCAGGGCTCCATGGTTGGAAGAAGCAAGGTCCTCCAAGGATGCATGGCTAGAAGAAGTGTTGGGTTCAATGGGTACTTGTCTGTTGGAAATGTTTCTTTCAACAGCATCAGAAAATCCAGGAGCCATGGCAAAAAGTTCTCCACAGCTAAGCTTTATTTTGGTCTCCTTAAGAAATCTGTTGGCAGTTGCCTCATCTACCTGGGGGTATTCCTTTGACAAAGCTTTTTCCAAATAGGTCTTCTTGGCAGGCTTCTCTTTGGGAATACTGGGTTCTGGGTCTTCAGTGTTTTGAAACCTGACTTTGGATTGGGCAGAGCTCTGTTTGGATTGCTGGGCAGAGTTCTGCTTGGTCTGAGTAGAGGTGCTGGGCTTGGGTTGAACAGGAGGACTGAGTTTCTGAGAAGTCTTGGAAGGGGGGGTGGCCATTTTAAGTAAGTCATCCTGGTCCATATCCATAAGAGTGTCTTTCTCCTTCCTGCTTCTCTTCTCTGTGGCTGGCTCCTCCTCATCTTGGTCCTTGGAAGATCTGGTCCTTTTTCCCAAGTC